AATTAAAATCTATCATATTAACTCTAATATACCAAGAAAACATGAAATGCATCAACCCATGGCAACTCAGAAACTTAGTACATATCTGTTATTCTTCTGACTACTCACTCTACTGATGGTACATCTGAAATCTGATTTGTTACTACGGGTCACTGTCCTATCAAAGGAGCCACTGTCTTATTTAGAAAAAGGTGGTGCATAGAGCAAAGGTGATCTGCAAAGTAAACCAAAACAGCCAATCGGTTTCTGTTTACTGCACTCATATCAGTTAAAAGACTCTGATGCTGATTGGTGCTTTGGGTTATTGCACTTTGTACGCCATCAATACTTTTTTGCCCTAATGAGTAATCATAATATATTCTCTGAAACCTCCATATCATAAAACACTAGAATGCATGCATGCAGCAGTTGGTTGGTTAACAATGGAACTATTCATTTTAAATCTACATTGTTACAACCTGCTTTACATAGTGCTTTGTATTAGATTGTGCACTTGGGCTGGCTAGGCTGTTGCAAGGCCATATAGTAAGACAGTAAAAGCATGCAATAAATATATATTGTACAATATTGATAAGCTGTAGCCATGAAATAACGAAAGGAGACTGTAAAGGGTAAAGCTAACTAACCTATGTACTTACTTACATAATTGACTTGTGTCAAATATTCTGAGGCCCTAAAAAAAATGTTAAATACGGCAAATTCTTTAAACTGCAAATTTTCCAAATCAGTTGAATTTGCTAATTGATGTTTAAAATATGTTATGCTCATGCTTGGTGGGTCGCTTTCTCAAGAAAATAATGATTTCTTGGGAAAATGGGGTATAAATCTTCATTTTGGAGGCAATTAGAGCGCTGATTTCATTTGTGCCCCTGAGCTATTCTTGTAATTTGCTCAAATAGCTTTATGTGCCCAGCACTCCAGAGCTTTAAGAAACTCAATTTCTAGCTAGACTTGTTGGATTGCAATTTTGAACTCGGCATCCGCGACCTGTGTTTCGCAATGGGTTCCCTAGGATACAAAGCTGTGTATGTGAGTGTGACGTGAACAGGGCCTGATCAATGCTATGCATCGCCTCTTTACATATGTCTTGGGACATACAGGACTTGAACTTATCTAAGGGACCATAATTAAGAACATACATCTCGGATCAATTAATATTTAGCCATATGTGTATTTACGTATCGCAGTGGCATGTGAAACATAATGAAAGCGCTTACTTCCTTTTGCATTTTTTACTTAAGACATGTTTCTTCAAAGTTTTAAAAAGTATTTCCATAACATGGTCATGAATCTGTATCGTGATATAACAACCTTGTGATCTATGAGAAGCATCTGATAACGCCACAAATCACCGTACACATCAACCAGTTAACCCTATGGTACCTAGGCTAGCCTAGAGCACTGGGATTTAAGTCGCTTCGGCATAATTTGCCTAAAAGGGATGAGGACGGTGTAAAGCATTGTGTCTGGCTGTGCAATGTGTAACCAACATGGAATTCCCAGGAGCCTTTCTGATTACACCCTAAATGCTATCTGCAAGGCATTAATCATGCCTATTTTTAAACTATGTCTGACATGGCACCAGATTTTTGTAAAACCAAACTAGTATCATTTCTGAACATTTGTGGCAAAACTGCAATCAAATTGTAACAATCTTTTCTGCTCAAGTAATAACTGATAAGTATACAAATACAGACTTCAACTATTTATAAATAGCCTTTTGAAAGTTTCCAAACAATGCACCCAAAGCTGATGATGGGCACTAGTTGTCGAAAAAGATACAGATTTAACCCCTTCAAAGCAGGTTAGGCTTCCACAGTAAACAGACCACTTCTGTGTACTTACAGCCTATTTAACTGTTACACTGCCAGTCGTCATACAACCAATATCAATAAGCTGGACAACTGATTTATCCTCCAATACAGCATTACAAGAGCGATTGCCAGAACTCAGTGACACACAACATTAACTCAGAGTTCTTCAACAAGTCCTAAACATTTGAAGTGTTTCCCAGCTTTATCATACTCCCCATCATCACAGCAAATGCTAACCAAGAAACCCTGGTGTGCGTATTTTTATTGCAAGCAGCCATTAAATAAAGGTGAACGGGCTTCTATCTAGAAGTACTGGAAGTAACAAAATATAACATTTAGGTTGATGTACTCAAGAAACTGAATAAGATTGTATAAAAATGATATATCGTATATTATATATTTACTTCATTAACCCAATCATGTAAAAAACAACAAATTCCTGATCACTCTGAATGCCCAATCAGAGGACTTTCACGTATAATAACTAATGAATCCAAAATTACACCATTTTTTTTTTCAGTGAGGATTTTCAACTTCTTTAGTAAATCATCCTTGTTTTCTCATCATGTACACAACATCACGACCAAGCATCTTGCTTCAACTCACTGTTTAGAGAACCATTCACAATTTACTGGTTCACTTACCAGACCGTCGCCAGACCAGCAAACTTGTGTTTATTTCAAATGACCAATCAACTTTGTGGGAAATTCACAATTATCCCATTAATCTGATTGGTTGCTTGCAATTGACACACATTCATTAGTCTGGAGAACTTTAAAAAAAAAAATCCCTTAAAGTAAGTCTTCTTGATACATGTGTCTGATATACCGCCTGTAAATGTGTGATAAAAGGTACCTCTACTGCTTTAAAAATGTATCAACTTGATAAATAAACTTCTCCCAATGTAAAGTTCATTTATATTCTTCGCTCTGACCTGATTGGATGTTTTTAGCTTGTGTCAAAAGGTGTTTTCTCTTGAATGAAATCACCCGTTACCTTGACACCGGCATAAACTTTTACCAATCAATGCTTTATATTCTAAAACACTAATATATAAACCGTCATTTATTACTTGTCCAGGAATAGATGTCTGTATATAGCCAAAACTTTTTTTTTACATTTTGGATACAGTGGGGAAGGTTCAGAACCTCTGTCAGGTTGTTATTGCTCCCTGTGATCTCACTGGGGAGGGGTAGACACAGAAAGTGATAAGAAATCCAAGCTTTTACAGTTGTCGCCAGAACAGGAGACAAAGGGAACCTGTTCCAGTGAATCGCCACAGAGGGAATTTCTCCTTGTGCTTTTCCCTTACTTCCTGCTGTGTTTTCATGAGAGGAAGTGAAGGGACATCTCCCCAGTGGGATAGGCCAATAATCAAATTAGAGAGAGAGGAAGAGCGAGAGAGGAGGGGGAGAGAGGGAGGGAGAGAGAGGGGGAGAGAGAGAGAGAGGGGGAGAGAGAGGGAGGGGGGAGAGAGAGAGAGAGAGATACATACAGATATATATTTAAATGGAGAGTGGTTAACCCTTCCCTGTTGTATACAAAAGTAAAAAATAAAAAGTGACTACAGACACACTTTAATCCCCCCATGAATCCGTTATAAAACTTTCCTAAGCCTAGCATGCCTCATATACTAAAACACAAACATTGGTTTGTTTCACATCAAATAAATGTGTAAAGACCAGGTGAACCTTAAAGTGTATTTCCACGTTTGCAACCATATTGGGATAACACCTACTTTATATTTGTTATATGTTCCCATTACCTAAAAACAATGTTTACAAGTTGCTGCTCTTGAAATAAAAAAAATCCCACTTAGCTCCTCCTTCTATGTTGGGGCTGGGGAATATTGTTCACCATAATTAACGCCGTCTCTACTGTGCCAGCAGATCTCATAATCAGTTGTAAACTAGTTGCGCACACCGGCTGTCCTAGTCCTAACAAAGGGTTAAAGATCACAAGGCTCGGGTGATCCGATGGGGGAATTTACTAAACCCGGAGCATACTGAATCTTGAGCAGCTTCTTCAGTTAAGTTTTGGAAATGAAAGGCAGACGCTAGTTGGTTGCCATGGGCAGCTGCTGCAAATTCTGCCTGCTCCAATCTTGGTCAATTCCCTCTATTGCATGTTTAAAAAAAAAAACTCCCTTGGTCTGTCCCTTATCTGCACAATAAACAGTTGTTTACAATCAGTGTCCTCTCTATAAACTTGCTCCAAAGAAACAACTAGAAAGATAGATAACCATTTTCTATTATTTTTTGGTATGCTGCGTGAATGGGAACACATAGCAAACCTATAGAGGGGAAATTATCAAAACTGAAGCACTCGCCTATGGCAACCAATCTGCTTCTATCTTTCATTTTCAAATCTTAACTGATCAAGCTGAAGATAGAAGTTGATTGGTTGCCATGGGAAACTGCTCCAGTTAACATAAACTCCCCCCAAGGTGGTGGTTCCCAAATTAGGCAGCACAAAGTGGACATGTGCTTTAATAAGGAGCGATAAGCAGCAAGTTGGGAAGCAGTGAATGAACGCACGGGCTTCTATGGAGAGGACACCCAGCTCCAGTCCCCCTGGGGGCCACTGTCCCGCCAGTTTGTCCCCGGGGCCAGTCAGAGTAGTACGTGGGATGCCATCAATGTCTATGGTAGAAGGAGCGCCTCTCTCTCCCCCCTCATAGTGGCCGTGCCGCTTTTATTCCCTGTGCGGGGAGGGAAGGGAAATGGGCGCGCTTTCTCCCCAGCAGCCTGTGCACAAAGCAATGTGCAGTGAGCTCTGAAAGCGCCCGGCCAAGGGAAACTGACAAGGTGGGCTAATGAAGCGTACAGACAGCAAGAAAACAGCCCGGCCTTTGCTTCATCTCAGCCCGTCTCCGTGTCCTGTCACAGACCACCAGGACTGGCAAGGCTGTGCACCGCTCTCCGCTGCGCCCTGCGCGCACAGTGCGCGGGCCCCATGGCACTCTCCGCTCGCCATCTGATTGGCTGCCGTGCCCGGCTGGCCGCTAATTACTGACTTACACACAAAGCAGGACACATCGGCTCATCACGTTGCCGGTTCGAATGCTGGAGCTAAAGAAGCCATGATTCGCCAACGCTCATTTCCAATTAGAAATGTACTCACAAATGATACATAAAAAGAAATTAAACAAATGCCAAAAGGTAACAGATCTGTAGATCCGCTTACCTGATCTGTGAGGGTGGCCGATCTGGTCATGTCTTCGCTGTCGGACTTGGATCCACCGTCCCTGTCCTCTATCACCAGGTCGATGGGCATTTTCCCTTTCAAGCAGCTAATATACCGATGGCAGAAATTGTCGCACAGTTCGTGTACCTGCTCCAGCCGCCAGAGAGAGAAATAAAAAAAAGAAAAGTGAATGAATAATAAGAGGCCAGAGATTGTACCCTAATCAGCTGGAGAGAAATACAAATGACAAGAGCGATCAGGACGTGTCGGTGGCGCCCCGTCCGCGAACACGGGGAAGAAGAAGACACTGGGATTATCCCCCTGAGACCCCCCCAGTAACTGTCCCCCCTTTTCCTTTTTTTTTCTGCTAAAATAGAGATATCCGGGAAAATTGACACTGACAAGATGATTCACAAGCTACAACAAATTCAACACCCGTGTTAAATTCATCTGCTCCCGGGGCTGTGACCACGAGAGAGCTGACCTGCATGGGTGACATTTAAAGTAAACTATTTAATTTCATTTAATTATATCA